CTACAGATTGGGAAAAAATATTTGGCAATGACATATCTGACAAGGTACTTATCTGTAGAATTTATAGAAAACTCCAACACCTCAACAACAAAAAGACAAATAATCCAATTAAAAAATGGGCAGAAGACACGAATAGACACTTCACCAAAGAGGATATTCAGCAGCCAACAAACATATAAAGAAATGCTCATGATCATTAGCCATTAGAGAGATGCAAATCAGAACGAGACACCATCTTGCCCCAGCACTAGTAGCAAAGTGCAACAAGACAGAAAATAACAAATGCTGGTGAGAATGTGGAGAGATTGGGACTCTCATACACTGCTGGTGGGACTGTAAAATGGTACAACCACTGTGGAAAGCAGTATGGCGATTCCTTCAAAAGTTGGAAATACAAATACCATTTGACCTAGCCATTCCATTATTAGGTATATATCCTAAAGAAGTGAGAGCCATGACAAGAACAGGCATATGCACTCCCATGTTCATCGTGGCACTATTTATAGTAGCAAAAAGATGGAAACAACCTAGATGTCCATCAGCTGAGGAATGGATAACCAAACTATGGTACATACACACAACGGAATACTATGCAACCCTAAAGAATAACCTAGACTCTGCAAAACACCGTATAATGTGGATGAAGTTGGAGGTCATTATGCTGAGTGAAGTAAGTCAATCACTGAAGGATAAATATTGTATTAGTCTGTTATTGTAAAGTCAAGAAAAGGTTTATCTATGGATGGCAATTTTCTTTGTTGGTTACCAGGGGTGGAGGGTAGGGTAGGGAACAATGTTAGATAGGCAGAGACAAGTATTGATGTGGGTGAAGGGAAGGGCAATGTATCAAATGTGAGTGATCAACATGGTGGCATTGCAGAAGAGGAAGACATAGACAGGTGCATGGGAGGTACAGACAACAAAGATGAACTCTTTTGCACATACAGTACTGCGCTGTCAGTGACGGCAAACATGGGTATACGGGTGGATAGATGGGTGGACAGGCTGAACTATTAGGTATGTCTGTGAAGCACGGAGTGTACCCAAGACTGTGTATAGGGTTGGCAGACAATGGTCCTATAAATGTATTTGTATGATCTCTAAGAATTCCTAGGTGTATAGTAGAGCTGAGTAGGGACAAGGTTGTAGTCACTTCTTGGTCATAGCCAGCTACCCAGAGGGAGCAAGTAGTTGAACTGCTGGGCTCGGGACCATAGTCACAGGGGACATCAAGCTCAATTGGCATAACATACTACACAAAACATTGGTCTACCTCCTACTTTGGTGAGTAGCAACTGGGATCTTAAAAGCTAGCAAACTGCCATCTAGATGCAACATGCGTCTCTCCTCATCCAGAGCAAAAAGAATCAAGAAAACCAAAAATTCATGGAAAGAATTAGTCCTAGCGACTGGTACACCATGGGATCTGCAGCCCTTACGACTGAGACCAGAAGAACTAGATAGTGCCCGGCTACCACTGTCAACCACTTGGAGGGGAATCTATGTAGGAGATCCTGGATAGAGAGGGAGAACAATGTGGAACAAAACTCAAAATCATTTGGGGAAAAAAAAAGGGGGACCAGGTTTGCTGGTCTGATAGAGCCTGCTGGAACCACTGAGACTGAAACCACTGAGACCCCTAGCTGCCCTTCAGGTCTGGAATTGAACCCACACCTGTGGGTTCCAGCCAAACAAGAGACAGGCATATGAGTTGAACATATACCTCAAGTAGATATACTCCTTGGAGAGAACAGTCATGGGAGAAAAAAGAGTGTTTATGCACAGGGAGACAAGCATGCAGGGATGGACACAGGGAAGAGGTGACTATGGGGAGAAAGTGGGAGGTGAGCTGTTGCATTGGGGTAAACTGTAGTCAATGTCATGAGACAAAGTGTATGTGAACTGCTGTATGGAAAGTAAATTTGCACTGTAAATTTTTACACACACACACAAAGTTTTACAGCCTTGGAAACCCATTTGAAGTCACTATGAGTCAGAATCAACTGAGTGGCAGTGAGTTTGGGGTTTTTTTTTGGGGGGTGGTTTGAGATTAGTTAGCCTTAGCTATGCGGAGGGCTATTATTTCCACTGTCACTCAAAGGAAGTGGGAAAGGCTATGATAATGTAGTTAAGTCTAAATTTTGTAGGAGGAAATTAAGAGCCCCTTGTATGGTAGCTATTTTATAAGCAGAAGGTGAAGTAATTGCTGTCAGATAGAAGTGGTGAGATTAGAGGCTTGGGTGCTCTAGAAATACTTGATAAAGCTGCCATGAAGAATGGGATAGAGTGGACTAGGAAGATAAAAAATTGCTAAGAAGGATTGACCCAGTTGTGGCTGGAGATCATAAATTTATCTGGTATGTCTCCATCGATGAGACATTTTTTTCCTGCAGAGTTCTGACCAAATCTGTGTAATAGAAAACTTTCTGCAATGATGGAAATATTCTACATCTCCACTGTCCAATACCGTAGCACTTAAAATGTGGCTAGTGCAGACTGAGGAGGTGAATTTTAATTAACTTAAAAATTTTAAATAGCCACCACAAACTCTTGGTAACCCTAATTTTGCATTTAATGTTGAAAATTGTTCATATGATGGTAACCCCATGGAAGGAGGTGAAATGCAATAAAATGTTTGCTGCTAAACCTTAGGTTTTCTTTTTTAATTTAAAGCTGGTGATTACTACTATTTGCTTACTTTGCTGTTTCAAGCCAAATCCATTAAAAAAAAAAAAAAAATCAAACAAGATAAACAAGGTACATATCCATCCTTAATAATTTAGCATGAGACTCTAGAACATTTTCTCTTAAGGACCTCTTCTTTACTGACAGAAAAGCAAAAATAATTATTAATGAGGAAATACTGTTTTGTCTAACCAGAAGGCTGTAGTCCTAGCAGTTAAAATATAAAGACCAGCAGAGGCTGTAAGTTAAGAGCTGGCAAAGACAAAAGCTTTCATATACAAGAGTTTTTATACTTCAAGGTGAAGATACTTTAAGTGAAAATATTACTATGGAAAAAAGCCAAAAGTTTGCAAACACATAAAAATATTGTGTAAGATTTGGTGCATTGCGACTATGGTCTTAAGAGCTTACAAGCGGCCACCTAAGATGCAACAATTGGTCTCTCTTTGTTCAGAGCAAATAAGAATGAAGAAAACCAAAGATGCATGGACACAATTAGTCCAAGAGACTAATAGTGGACCATGTGAACCTCAGCCTGCATGACCCTTTGACCAGAAGAGATGGTGCCCCATTACCACTATAAACCACTCAGAATAGGATCAGTGTAGGAGATCCTGGATAGAGTGCAAGAAAAATGTGGAACAAAACTCAAAATCATAAGAAAGACCAAGCTTACTGGTCTGATAGAGGCTGCTGAAACCCTCAAGACTAGGCCCCTTGTCACCCTTTGGGTGTGGAATTGAACTCACTTCTGTGGCTTCCAGCCAAACAACAGGTGTGAAAGGTGAAGATCTGTACCAGCTAGGTGTACTCTGTAGAACAGTAAGCCATGGGAGATCAGAAGGGCAGTTTTTGCTCAGGGAGATAGCTCGGAGGGCAGGAATGCATAGGAAAGAAGGACACAGGGAAAAGATAAGCACAGGGAGGAAGTCGGAAGAGAGCTGTTACATTATGGGGAGTGCAGTCAATGTCATGAAACAAATGTGTATTAACTGTTGTATGGAAAATGAAACTGCTCTGTAAATTTTCACTCAAATCACAATAGTAAAAAAAAAAAAGCATTGTGTAAGAAAACAAAAGCAGATTTTTCCTATAATGTGAAGTGCTAGCTGACAGTTATCTATTTCTCAGATCCCTGTCTGTGACTAAAGAAATAATCATCTTGTCTGTGGATGACATAAGCAGTTTGGCCAGGAAAGAACATATAATTCTAATTTGGTTAGTTAATTTATGTAAGTGAAATTAAATAGTTAATTTTACTCATTATAAACTCAGATTTTATCTTTAGTCCCCAAATTTGTAAACATTTTTAAGTAATTCAATTTACTGCAAGTTTAATAATTATATACTATTTATGTATTTCTTAATATGTATAGGGTAAGGAACCTCTCATGCTATGATGCTAGACAATGACAGCATGTCATGAAGAGATATATTTGTAGTCAAATATAAAACTAAGACAGTTTCTCGGTATCATTGACAGCCATATCATTGTATTAGAAATATTTAAATTACAGGTCTGTGGGGTAGAGGTAGAAAAGACATTTAAAAGGTTCCTTGAAAAGGACAAAAGTAATTTATGAGACTGGAGGAAGAAAATTATGCATAAATTTCAAAAGTTAATTTAATTGGGGCAAAAAAAAAATCTAACTGAAAAGAAAAAAATATTCTGATAATCTACTTATTCCTCTGAGATTTTTTTTGTTCATTTTATATAAGAGTTTATTTTTTTTTTCCAAATTCTTATTTGTACAGATACATAAAAATGATTCCCATTTCTTTTCAACATACTAAAAATATACATTAACCACAAAAAGTACTTATTCTCATGGAAAGGAAAATGAGCATGGCTATTCTCAGAACAGCAGTAAACACAAGCTGCCAATGTATATAAATAATGACAAGTATACATCTCATTTTTGGAAAAAATAAATTCTATTTTTTACATTAATGCTTTATTATCCAGCTTCTGTATTAGACATACCAACCTTATTTACATTTTTAGTATGAAATTTCTATTAGCATGTGTAACTCAAAGGCACTCAATTCAGAGGTTTTAAAGTCCTGAGCTTAAGTAGGAAGTAGGATTCCCAAATAAAATCTGAACATAAATAATTCTAAAGATTAGACAATATGAAAATATTTAAAGTGTAGTATCTGGTACATAAATAATTCATGACCTAATAATAAAATTGTACAGAACATCAATGTACAGATTGAAAGGGCATATATAATTGGCCATATAAATGATTCCTTTAATCTTTTAGCCAAATAAAAAATAAATTTACAGATGGATAACTGAGGTTCACTAACATCAGAGAGGGTCAAAGTTTAAACTAAAAATTAAATGTGTATTTGGTTGCAGAGACATGTGGGATTTATCTACAGCAATTCTGTACTGATGCTAATCAAAAGCATGAGTTGACATCTTTGTAACATAAATGGTTTGACAGATATTTTCTTGGCTTTAAAATGTTTTTTCTTATATGCATAGAAATGTAATGAGGATAAGAATAGTCTTCTCTATTATCTGTTATAGTTCATAAGGCCTTTGTCGTTATTAGTCACCTTAGATGTGATTATATGTAGAGCCATTAAATTAAAGCTGGCCTAAAAAGTTTCCAAAGTGCTACTGGTTTCAACTGATGAGATCCTCAGTTTTCTGGGTGACAATTATTATCAGGTCTCTTTTCTGGTGATATATACAGGAAGTTGCAGCAGATATATAAAGGGAAGACCAGAAGCCTGCTGTCCAAGTTCATCACCACTTGTTCCTATAAAACAAATTTGTAACTTTAATGCTAAGACAACTTTATACTCATATTATTAAAAAACAACAAACTTGAATTGAATGACAGACTGTGGCTAAGAGCTTGCATTCTGGAGTCTTAGAGCCACAGTTCAAGTCTTAAAATTCCCACCCACTAGCAGTGTGGTTTTGAACAAGTCACTGACTTTGTGAACTGCCGCTTCCATACTGAAAAATAGGACAATAAAGATTACCCACCTTATAGGACTACACTGAAGATTAAAAGGGCAATGCATGTTTAGCACAGCCAGTCACATATTATGTACTCAATACCCACTGCTGTCGAGTCAGATCTGACTCATAGCAACCCCTCCTAGGGTTTCCAAGGTGCTATCACCACGGAAGTAGATTGCCCAACCTTCCTTCTGAGGAGTGGCTGGTTGGTTTGAACCGCCATCCTTATGGTTAGCAGTCAAATGCCTTAGGCACTATACCACCAGAGCGCCCATGTACTCAATAATGGTGGTTATTTTTATTACTGCAAAATTTCTACAGCTACCTACACATCTCATGAACAGATACATTCTTCAGAAATATATACACTTCTCAGTTCGCTTCAATTTCTGATGGCCCTTAGGGATAAAAGTGGGAAGTCATTATGAACACTGACAAGCTGGATCCAAATTTTGTCTAAGATTTCCCACTGACCCTATGACAAATACATTGTTTATTACTTGGAATGTAAAATACATTACGTGAAAGCACTTTCAAGTTTAGTTACATTAATGCACACACACAGGACTTGATACTACATCTGAGGAGCCACAAATGTTACCATTACTCATGTCACAGACCTCCATTCCAGTAATCTCACATACATTTTACTAGCATTTGGTGAATAGAAGAGATCCCCTGAATAAAAGAAGTAGCATTGGGATTAAAATTCCTACTTTTTAATACTTGAATACATTCTTCACAAAAATATGCATTACTAGATTCACTTTATTCTATACATTTTGGAGAAAATCTTATTAATCACTGTTTCAATCTAGAGTTTTGATTTTTTTTTTTTTTTTTTTTTAACTGAGGCACGTGCTGCTGTAGTGAATGGACACTAAAACTAGGATAATCTGAGTGACCAAGGTATGCTCAACTGGACACAGCATCTGTGTTGGGCGAAAAGCAACATAATTTGGATAAAGGAGGAAGGGAATGAAAATGACATATACAGACGTGAAATCTCTCTTGTTGTTAGCTGCCATTGAGTTGGCTGACTCAGCAACCCCATATACAACAGAATGGAACACTGCCCAGTCCTGCAACAGGCTCACAATCCTTGCTATGCCTGACCCCACTGTTGCAGCCACTCTGTCAGTCCATCTCACTGAGGCTCATCCTCTTTTTCACTGACTTATTTCACCAAGCATGATGTCCTGTTGCAGGGACTGATGCTTCCTAATAACATGTCCAAATTATGTGAAACAAAGTCTCGCCATCCTTATTTCTACAGAGCATTCTGGCTCTACTTCTTCCAACACAGATTTGTTCATTATTCTGGCAGTCCAAGTATATTCAATATTCTTCACTTAACACC